TAAAAGAAACACAATTCTATTTTGTCTGTAACTCGAAAGTTGGTTAACTGTTAAATAAAGTTTGAGTTACTCAATGTGGACGTTCAACAAAAACAAAAATATAGGTTGCCCGTGATTCGAAGTTCTGTTAACTGTTAATTGAACATCGAGTTACAATTTGGGCGTGGTTTCTGTAATATGGGTGTGGTCATTTTTTAACTCGATGTTTTCACATGTTCGTAACTCAAATAATTCATCATCTCTATTGTCTATGGTTAAAGGGCGATGGTCGTCGCGCAGCGCGTGTTAACATTGAACGTAAGCAGTGTATTTTACACGCGTAATCTGCGCAGCGTGTGTTAAAATTGAACGTAAACAGTGTATTTTACACGCGTAATCTGCGCAGCGCGTGTTAAAATTGAACGTAAACAGTGTATTTTACACGCGTAATCTGCGCAGCGCGTGTTAAAATTGAACGTAAACAGTGTATTTTACACGCGTAATCTGCGCAGCGCGTGTTAAAATTGAACGTAAACAGTGTATTTTACACGCGTAATCTGCGCAGCGCGTGTTAAAATTGAACGTAAACAGTGTATTTTACACGCGTAATCTGCGCAGCGCGTGTTAAAATTGAACGTAAACAGTGTATTTTACATGCGTAATTTGCGCAGCGTGACGGCAACCGCCCTTTAGGGACTGGTCATTTTCTTTGACCGGGGGTGCTGGGAGTCTGATTTTGCAAAAGTAGAAAAAGACTCGACCCCGCCCACAAGCAAAAAACCATAACCGGGTGACCCTCTCTTCACAACATCTGAAAATGCATTGACCCACCACAAATAAACTTTTGATTTATGTCAACTACTTGGTTTACTTTCGATAAAGTTAAAGTTTTGTGACTTGTCTCCAGGTTTCTGTCCTCCTCCCTGATCTGGTGATATAGACATTCTGAATTGTCTCAGTTTCTTCATTTTCACTCCTGATTCCCTGAACAACAATGTTATCAAATCTCTGAATCATCCTCTGTAGAATCTTTTGTAAATCTATAGATGGCATAGGATTTCTGAACGTACTCCACTTTTTCTACATCTCATCTCTGTCAGCTTTTCTTGGAACGTCACATGTTACAGTTCTAACTTTATCCTGCTTCTTACCTTTCCTGAATAAACTGTGATGCTGCAAGCATTTGTCAGAGATCAGATATTGTCATATCTTTTACAACAATGTCCAACCAGTTATAGTCCTATATTCTTTATGCTTCTTTTGTTATGGTAGTGCAGTAGATATTGACATTTAGCAGGTACAAATAGCTTATATACCAGATTATGCGATTTACTGTTGTTTTGATATTTTTTATTAATTGTAAATTTAAATTTCAAATATTTCATACTCATTTTTTGCTACCTTCTTTGGTATTATACATTATAATGAGTTGAGTTACTCAAAAAAGAAAACTGTTTGAGTGCAAGCATTGGTTGTTTATTAACAATGAAACAAATACAATAAACTTTACATTTTGTGGAGAAATTTGAAAATGTTAAAAGAAAGTTTATGAACTTTGTACAGTAATTGTATTGACTCCCCCCTCCCAGGCTATGAAAGAAATGCAATCACCCCTCTATCCAATTTCAAAATAGCTTCCGCCCCCCAATTTCCCCTGGCACCCTAGCCAAAAAAATGTACCCTAGGGGTTATTCTAACAGTAGCCGACTGAGTCCATCAACTTGCATAATTCCTCAATATGACCTTTTTGAATTTCAAAATATTAATTAAACTTGTAAAGATGTTTTACATGTTTGTAAAAAATAATACTAAAGATCGCAATGATTTTTAAAAACATTTTTAGTTCTGGGAACACACATTTACATCTGTTTTGAGATTTAAACGTAGGATTTCAAAATAACCAAACTTTTGAGAGAGCTACAACTGTACTTGAACAAACACTCAAAAATAAAGGAGAGAGTTAATCAAGTGTTAAGTTCACAACAAATTGGGAACACTTTCTATTCAGTGCACCACCTCTGGAATAGCAACTTCCACACAGAATCAAATAAGGTCACATTTCTATGCACTTCGCCATGAGCATTTAGCATAGTTTGGCGGTGCTGTTAGTATGAATGTTTCCCAACTTGTATGTTGGTCCTGTTTTACTCGTAAATTATCATTTAGTCAGTGATCGATAAATTGAGTCGTTTACCTCTAAGACACACTATAATCAACACAAGCACAAATCCGACAAGCTATGAGGGTGACATATGAAATAGATTGAGTATACAGTGAGCATGTGCTGTTAGTTACGCCCTGTTATCGACTGTAAATTATTTTATTTTCGCTAATTCAGTGAAAATATAATCCAGCGAATATAGCTTTTATTCCATATTTTACATTCAACTAAATCAGGTAAAAATAAACTCCATGCTAAAACATCCAAAATGTTCTTCCAGTGAAATTAATTCCAGCTAAAATAAAGTATTTTACAGTAAGTTGATTTGTATTGGTCCATCACGAAGGAGCACCTCCATGTACTGTAATTACTCAATTAGAAGTGTGCACCTCTTTTACAAGTGCATACCCCTAATACAAATACCACAATTACTCTATTAGAACTGTGTTACAGAAGGATGTACATAGCAATGTGGGGAACTCATACTTGCTTGACTCCACTTACATGACAGATGAATCAACCACACAAGATGTTCTGCACAGATAGTCCGACATTTATTACTAACCAGCACTTTGGCTATGTGGTCAGGTTGCCAACTGACATCTCCTATGTTAACAAGTGCACCACCAATACAAACACATGTACTGTAATTACTCTATTGGAAGTGCATAGCCAATACAATATAAATACCGTAATTACCATATCTAATCTTAAAGAAAGTCTCAGGAACCAGTTTTCTCAGAGGACGAGTTACATCACACAACATTCTATGTTGCTTAGACGCGCAACACTGTACCATGTATTTCTATGGGCTCTGTGCAAGCTGCTGTGAAACGCCGATCGAAGAGCCGGTGAAAACAGCACAAATTCAACTTTGAGGTAATCCTGAGCAAACAAATTGATACATGTTGCTCATGTAGGGGTACACTTTTCAGGAGAGTCTAAATAACTAGAACAATGTAGTTTTCTGAGAGTTTTTGATCGTTGTTTTAATCAGTGATGATTGCCACTAATAACACATGTGTAATATACAATGGCAATATCAGTTGTGATTTACAGTCATAAATAACAGATCCAACAAAATTATTGTAGTGATTTTTATTAAATGAGAAAAATAAACCAAACTCAAATAATAGAGCATTGCTTATTACAAAAATACTTTCAAATTTTAAAAGTAATAAAAACATTTAAAAATATTGCTACTCATAAATTTCAAAAATTTACATCTAGTCATAAAATAAAATGACTCAAAAACAGTAAACATTTCTACTGTGGACTTTCAAAGAAAAAATACTACAAAGACAAATTTTGTACTAAGTATATCCGCCCTTGGTAACAACAATAATGCACCTATTTGATACTGCTGATACAGACATCTGATATTGTGGATACTGATAGTAGCAATTTCAATAAGACCTATATTCGCAACATATTTTGCTAATACTAGTGGTAGCAACTTTATTAAGGTGAATATTAGCAACAATTATTTGCATATTACTTTGATACTGACAGTAATGACATGGGTAACACGCATATTGGTATTACTTTAAAGTACTGATGGCAACTATATCTAGGTGATTGTTCGCAAGATTGATTTGCATATTAACTTGATGCTGGCAATACATGTATTTATAACATTATAACATGTTCCTTTTATACTGACAATGGTGAATATTGTGACACTGTGGATACTGGTGGTAGCAATTTTAATAAGACCAATGTTGGCCAAATATTTTGAATATTACTTTGATACTAACAATGGTGATACCACCATTAATAAAGTCAATGTTGAACATGAATGTGCATACGATTTGGACTGTCCAATGAATGTATCACATCATTATTTAGACCATACCTTTGTATCATATCAAGATTTGGACAGTGTCCTTGACTGACCAGATCAGATCATAGTTTGGATCAAACCTAATTATTATATCATACCAGTACTGTGTTTTAGACAGTGTTCTTGACTGACCAGATCAGATCATAGTTTGGATCAAACCTAATTATTATATCATACCAGTACTGTGTTTTTAGACAGTTTCCTTGACTGACCAGATCAGATCATAGTTTGGATCAAACCTAATTATTATATCATACCAGTACTGTGTTTTAGACAGTGTCCTTGACTGACCAGATCAGATCATAGTTTGGATCAAACCTGATTATTATATCATACCAGTACTGTGTTTTTAGACAGTTTCCTTGACTGACCAGATCAGATCACAGTTTGGATCAAACCTAATTATTATATCATACCAGTACTGTGTTTTAGACAGTTTCCTTGACTGACCAGATCAGATCATAGTTTGGATCAAACCTGATTATTATATCATACCAGTACTGTGTTTTTAGACAGTTTCCTTGACTGACCAGATCAGATCACAGTTTGGATCAAACCTAATTATTATATCATACCAGTACTGTGTTTTAGACGGTTTCCTTGACTGACCAGATCAGATCATAGTTTGGATCAAACCTGATTATTATATCATACCAGTACTGTGTTTTTAGAC